TTTCAGGAGCGACTAGAGAGAGAGTTAAACAACGATGTAAGTGATTCCCATCCAGAAGCAGGTTGGTGTGATATCAAACAGGCTGTGGAAACAACAGTGATATCTGCTAGTAAGGTAAACCATAAGGCTAGGATAAAGCCGTGGATATCAGTCGCATCCACCGAACTGATGGATGCTCGAAAACGCACCCCACCTGACTCTGAGCATGATGAAGAGCGTAGTCAGCTTAGGCGCAGACTTATAAAACGTCTACGTAACGACCGCGAACAGTGGTGGGTGGCGAAAGCAAAAGCGATGGAAAAGGCAGCGGCGATCGGCAACAGTAGACAACTTTTCCGCCTTATTAAAGAAACTGGTATTAGGAACCCGAATGTGAGTGAGACTATCTCGGAAAAGGATGGTCTTATTATCCATTCTCAATCCAGGAGACTGGATCGATGGGCAGAACACTTTAGGGATCAGTTCAACTGGCCACGAGCCACTCTTCAGTTACCCACGATCTCCAGTCATCCTGAATGGCAAATCGACCTAAGTCCCCCTAGTCTTAAGGACGTTGAGAAAGCGTTAGGAAATCTGAAACGAGGACGAGCTGCAGGTCCTGATAGACTGACCCCTGAGATATTTAAGGATGGTGGTCCAGTTTTATTAGCTAGGTTGACTGAGATCTTAGGTAGAATCTGGGAACTGGACACAATCCCATCTGACTGGTCTCAATCCTTGATTGTCCCAATCTATAAGAAAGGACAAAAGTCTTCTTGTGACAATCACAGGGGAATAAGTCTAACTAATATAGTTTCTAAAATATTGGCCTCAGTAATACTTCGACGCTTAACGAAAGCTCGTGAAGAGCAAACTCGAGAAAACCAATCTGGTTTTCGACCTGGACGTGGCTGTATAGACCACATTTTCACACTACGACAGGTCCTGGAACACAGACACACATTTAGGCGTCCTACAATGGTTGTTTTCCTGGACCTTAAGGCGGCATTTGACTCAGTGGATCGTGAGGTTCTGTGGCAGTGTCTGTCATTGAAAGGTGTACCAAAGAAGTACACTAACCTTATACAAGCTCTCTACTCAAACACCACTGGTCGAGTGAGAGCTTATGGCGAACTGTCACCGGAATTCTCTACATCAAGTGGTGTCCGTCAGGGATGTCCACTCTCTCCATTTTTGTTTAATTTTATCATTGACATGCTGCTAGAAATAACCTTACATCGTCTGAATTTTCTGGAGTAGACCTCCTACCAGGTGGCTCGCTTATTGACTTAGAATATGCCGATGACATAGTCCTACTTGGCGAAGATGCTGACAAGATGCAGCGTCTTCTGACTACCCTAAGCAACAATGCAAGCATGTTCGGGATGCGGTTTTCCCCCTCGAAATGCAAAATGTTGCTTCATGACTGGGTGGCATCGGCACCTGAACTAGTGATAGGGAGTGAAGTAGTCGAGCGTGTAGACCGCTTCACTTATCTTGGGAGTCTCATCAGTGCCGATGGCCTGGTGAGTGACGAAATCTCAGCTCGGATACAGAAGGCTCGATTGGCTTTTGCCAACCTGCGTCACTTATGGCGTAGGCGTGATATCCGTTCTCTAATCAAAGGACGAGTGTACTGTGCAGCAGTTCGCTCCGTTCTCCTATATGGCTGTGAAACATGGCCAGTGAGAGTAGAAGATATTCGTAGGTTACTAGTCTTCGATCATCGGTGTCTCCGAAGCATTGCTCGTATACCGTGGGACAACCGAGTAAGCAATGCTGTCGTTAGGAAACGAGTACTAGGCAAGGATGGCATATCAATCGATGAAGTGGTGAAACTTCATCAGTTGAGGTGGTTGGGACATGTGTTGCGTATGCCGAACCACCGACTGCCTCGACAAACTTTGTTTTGTAGTGTAGGAATAGGTTGGAAGAAAGCTAGGGGCGGCCAGACCAAAACATGACAGAAATCCATGAAATCGTTGACGAGTGGACTTAGCCATGTTGGTAATTGTCGACTACCTGGTTGGGGCCCGCGAGATGATAATAATCGATGGTTAGAGACCCTGAATGACATGGCTCAAAACCGTTTGCACTGGCGCCGGTGTATTTATGCTTTGTGTTCTCTTAAATCATAATCTCCTGGATTCTTCAACACCTATAGTTTTGACTTTCTAAACTTTTCTCACTGAATCATACTCCTTGAATAGTATCTTCTAACCCTAACCTCTCCGATTACTTCTAATTCCCTTACTACCTCTACTATTATTCGATTTGAATTGACAATTATATCTCTGTGCTGATGTGGTATGGCAACATGAACTGATGTACTTACGTACGAAGTTCTACGTTGCATCTGACTGACTGACTGACTGAACCTACCTACTTGAGCATTTAAGTCACCAGTCATTGTTAGTACATCAGAGCGTTTAGCTTCTTAAAGAACGTTGGAAAGCCTTTTGTAAAATTCGTCTTTCACCACATCTGAGCTGGTATCAGTATGAGCACACGTAAAGACAAAAAAGAAGCAGCAACGAATGTAAGAGTTCTTACCGTCTCGTGAAGTTGGATAACACACAAATAACTGTCTATTGGAATGTACTTTAAGAGAACTAGTTCTGTTTTATAACTCATTGCTATGCCTTCACCAGCGAGACCACGGGAAGCAGCAGTGGGGCTTCCAGATACACGAAGAGTAAATCGAGTCGGTTCTTTATTTTGACAAGGCGAGGTTAAATGAATGACTGTACTCGAATCCTGTATGCGCGTTTCGGAGACGCAGCATACGTTGGTGGGGCGAGATTCTAAAGTCCTTGCTAAGGAAGCCTGTCGTCTTATTTGGTACAATGTTCAAACATTAAAAGCTTTAACATATAGTTTAGAGCGTGGTTTCAGAAGAACAGGAATCACATTTCATGCAATCGAATCTTTAGCATTAGCGGTGCAAGGTGACAAAGGTATACAAGAAGGCATCAGAGTTATTAAATGGTGGATGAAGGATTTGATTATGAAGAAGTTGATCTCGTGTGCTGTTACTAGTATGAGAGTAGATGTCCCTTCCCGGCTGCTCACACCATGCAATCGTATTTATTCTTCAGGAACCTGAAAGGATAAGTAGATTAGTGTTGATCTTAACTAGCTGGGAGCGTGATCGCAGAACCCACCGGACAACTGCTTGAGGCCGGTCACACACGGCCATTTTTGTGAAGTTTTTAAAGTGTTAGCTCCGCTCTTGTTTAGAAGCCCTTACCGCCGAAGATGGAAATCCATAGGGTAAAGTAAGTCGTGAAATTTTTAGGCTCGACCTTTTTTAACCCCTACCTTCCTTGTGAGGGCACCATCGCTGCAGATGCTGGTTGTCTGAGGGAAACAGCTTACTGCTGTCACACCTCTCTACAGTCAGCTTCAACATAGGACTTGGTATGTATGTACATCAGTTCAAGTTGCCATACCACATTGACACAGAGAGATTCAATTCAAATTTCATAGTAGTAGAGATAGTAGGAGTAATTTAGAAGACTAGGGATAAGTATAATCCAGTCAATGGTACGAGTTTGCTCTCAGATCCTAAAATTTTGCTTTCAGTCTTACCATTCTCCAATCGACCTGCCTAAAATGTTAGGACCTACAGAAACATGCTTCAGCAAAAAAATGATATGGAACACCTTCACGATTTCACTTGTCATCTTTGCGCAAGGCCATACTAATCTCTGTATCGTTCCAGTTTTAATATGTACCACCAAAGCGTGTGTAGTATTATTCTACTCATCTAATGACTCTCCATTCTTGTTTAACTTTGTCGTAGACATCCTCTTAGAGTTAACATTAAGCTCGTCAGATTTTTCAGGGGTTGACCTTCTACCAGGACAATTGCTTACTGATCTAGAATATGCCGATGACATAGTTCTATTCGGTGAAGACGCTGACAAAATGCAGTCTTCTGACTACCCTAAGCAACAACGCAAGCATATTTGGGATGCGGTTCTCACCCTCGAAATGCAAAATGTTGCTTCAAGACTGGGTTACATTGGCACCTGAACTAGTGATAGGGAGTGAAGTAGTCGAACGTGTTGATCACTTCACTTATCTTGGGGGTCTCATCAGCGCTGATAGCCTGGTGACTGACGAAATCTCAGCTCGGATACAGAAAGCTCGATTGGCTTTTGCCAACCTGCGTCACTCATGGCGTAGGCGTGATATCCGTTCGCTAACCAAAGGACGGGTGTACTGTGCAGCAGTTCGCTCCGTTCTCCTATATGGCTGTGAAACATGGCCGTTAAGAGTAGAAGATGTTCGTAGGTTACTAGTATTCGATCATAGATGTTTAAGAAGCATTGCTCGTATACCGTGGGACACCCGAGTGAGCAACGCTGTTATTAGGAAACGGCTGCTAGGTAAGGATGGCAGATCAATAGATGAAGTGGTGAAACTTCATCAGTTGAAGTGGTTGGGACATGTGTTACGTATGCCTAACCACTGACTGCCTCGACGAGCTATGTTTTGTGGCGTATGAGTAGGTTGAAAGAAAGCTAAGGGCGGCCAAACCAAAACATGACAGAAATCCATGAAATCACTGACAAGTGGAGTGCGTCATATTGGAAGATATAGGCGACGTGGTTAGGGTCCGCGAGACGAACGTCACCAATGGTTAGAGACCTTGAACGTCATGTCTGAAAATCGTTTGCAATGGCGCAAGTGCATCCATTCTTTGAGCTCTCTCAAATCCTAATCTTCTGGATTAACCAGCACCTCTACCTTTGTCTCTCTAACCTTATCTCACTGAATTATACTTCTTGAATAATATCTTCAAACCCTAGTCTCCTTCATTACCATTAATACCTCTACTATCTTTATCACTATGTGATTTGATTTGACATTTGCGTCTCTGTGCTAATGTGGTATAGCAACATGAACTTATGTACATACGTACGAAGTTCTACGTTGCAACTGACTGACTGACTCATTTAATGTATGTAACAATAATTACTGGATTACATGTGTTCCCTAATCTTTCTTACAGAATGAATAACCATTCATATAGTAGACGTTGGAATGGTATCAATGATCCTGTACATCCGTTATCACGTACTGGACATTCAGCAATATCTCATGGACGATACATTTATATTTTAAATGGTTATGGACCATCAGATAAAGTAAGTGATAGTTGTATTTATTTTATTAGATTGATTAGAATAAAGTTGATTCGGTGTTTAAACGAATTTTTGTGATTCAATTGTTTGATGATACTTGGCAATAACAAATAGCAGTGATCATAGTTGTTGATGTATGTAAATTTTATTGTTGTCGAGATTGATTGATTGATTGCTTGGGTTGAAGAATTACTGTTTACTTGACTTCAGTTGTGAAAATATATATCTGTCGTTCATCCAGAGGATAGAAGTATTTATTAACAGTTATCTGTGCAAAATACTTCGGACATGCATAGGCACCTTAATTAGGGATAGGGGGTGAAGCGGTTCATCGTGTTGACCGCTTCACTTATTTTGAGAGTGTCATCAGTGCTGATGGCCTGGAGTCTGAATAAATCTCAAGACGGATACAGAAGGTTCGATTGGCTTTTGATAACATTCGTCACTTCTGGTGTGGGCGAGATATCCGTTTGCTAACCAAAGGACGAGTTTACTGCGCATCAATTCTCTCCGTCCTACTATTATGGATGAGAAACATGGCCCATATGAGTTGAGGATATTTGTAGGTGATTAGTATTCGATCATAGGTGTATCCGAAACATTGCTCGTGTATCCTTGGACAACCGAGTAAGCAATGCTGTCGTTAGAAAACAAGCAGTAGGTGGGGATAGCAAGTCAATAGATGAAGTATTGAAACTTCATCACTTGAGATGGCTGGGATATGTGTTACGAATGCCCAACCACCGACTACCTCAACGAGTTAAGTTTTATGGTGAATGGATAGGCTGGAAGAAATTTAGGGGTGGCCAAACCAAAAGATGGTACAAATCCATGAATTCACTGACAGCTGGATTGAGTCATGTTGGTAAGCGTAGACTTGCCTGTTTGGGATACGCGAGATGTTACTAACCGATGGGTTATAGACTTTGAACGACATGACTCAAAATCGTTTGCAATGGCGCAGGTGCATCCATTCTTTGCGTTCTCCGAAATCTTAATCTTCTGATTTCCTGATCACCTCTATCTTTCTCTTCCTAAATTTATTTAACTGAGTTATACTTCTTGAATAATATCTTCGAATCCTAATTATCTCGATTACCGCTAATACTACTATTATATCTACTACTATGGGATTCGAACTGACGATTGCGTCTCTGTACTAATGTGGTATGACAACTTGAACTGATGTACTTACGTACGAAGTTCTACATTGTAATTGACTGACTGAATTTAGATTCAGAAATCCTTAACTTTTATGCTAAAGAATTATTACTCTAGCTGATTTTAATACTAATTAAGTTGAGAAAATTATTTTCATATACATTTCTGTAGTTCTATTATAATACACAGAAATGTACTTACGATAGCCGCAATGTGAAAAACTTGGTTAGCATAATTCTTGTAATCACAGACATCACAATTGTCCGATAATTAAGCAGAAGTGTAAGGTAGTGATTCAACAAAAGATGGTCGTTCAATGTTGTAGATTGATTGAAGCCTAGATATTAACACTGTTGAATTCCAGTTCAGTGGTCTAAAGGTTAGGCATTCGAACGAAGAAACTAAAGGTCCTGTGTTCAGTTCTCGCTTGCACGATCGTGAATGTACATTCCTGAGGAGTCCAATACTAAGCAGAGGCTAGAAGCGAAGTTGGTGGAAGATGAAGGCTGATATTTCTTGTCAAATGTACATCAGTTATATGTTTTCACCGTATGCGTATTTCTCCAAACGAACATGCTTAGTGTAATCCTTTTTGTGCTAACCTGTTGCGATCAAAATGGAGTAAGGTTCGCTCTCTACAAGATGATCATATACTCCCATGCTTGTATAACCTATGTTAGGGAAAACTTTTCTCACTGCCGTCACCTGACAAAGGGTGAAAATTGAACATATACCGCTGTGGAAACAAATCATGTACAATCTTATTTTGGTCATCGACTACATTGCCTTAATAGATTAAACCCTTCGGTAAAAATTTCAAGAAATACTACTCTAAGTTGATTGACGAATCACTTTGGTTTGTCGATTTGATCACTATCTCAGATCTCACATATACAAAACTATATGTAACGACACACACACATAATTTTTTAATTGACAGTTTTATGCAAATTATATGTGAAATCAAAATAATTACTAACTGTTTGCGATATCGTAGGTGCATCCATCCATCCATTGTGTTCTGTCAAATCCTAACCTTCTGAATTCCTCATCACCTGTAGCTTTTTCTTTGAAGTTTATTTCACTAGATTCTGTTTCTTGAATAATGTCCTCAAACCCTAATTTCTCCGATTACTGCTAATTTTTCTACTACTGTTGGGGACGTTAGATCCCCAGAACTCACTTGATAAAGGTCCAAATCTTGGATTTTGTTTTTTTTCGCGCATGGGCTGATCAGTTGACCTTGAGATTACATTTCCCACCTGGAAAATCCTTGACTGTTATTGGTTGATGTTTTATTTTAGTGTGCTATTTTTGTGACTCTCCCAAAGACGTTTCTATCGATTTATGTGCTTGTCAACCTCATTTTTTGGGTGCTCGCAGAATACACTTTCTACGCCATATTAAGACTTTTTGATGTCGTTAGCAGGTCCGGGGACTGTCGAATCAGAATAGCTTATCGTGTCACTGCATCACTCGTCTTCGCTGTCGTCTACCGAGTAAGGTGAATGATATGTTCGTCACTAGGTACGCTTGAAGCTATTACGAGTTCACCTTAGTTGATAAATGCGAACGAGACAATTACCAGCGTCCAGATAGGCTACCTTGAATCCGAAACTGCAAAACAGAAGACTTTGTAAGCGTAGAAAGTATATTCTACTAACATCCATCAGTCACAATACAATCAAGCACACAACTCTCGTTTATTTATACATCATAGAAACGTCCTTGGGACAGTTACGAAAATAGCACACTAAAATACACAGCAGCCAATCACAGCGATGGATTTTCCTGATGGGAAATGAAATCTCAAGGCCAATTGATTAGCCCATGCTCGCAAACGTGAATTCCAAGTTTAAGGCATTTATCAAGCGAGTTCTGGGGATCTAACATCCCCAACAATGAACTCGTAATAGTAGTTTCAAGCATATCAATTGGCAAGCGTATCAATTACCTCTATCACTGTGGGATTTGAATTGACTTTTCATTCCATCTGTCTCAGTGCTTATGTTGTTGTGGTATGTGGCAATCTGAACTGTGATGTACGTACGTACATACGTACGAAGTTCTACGTTGTAGGTGACTGATTGACTGTTCATTTGATCAGTGTTTCTCTGTGTGTGTGTGTGTTTGTTTAACTGTTTTATCATTGGTTTATTTTCTCCTTCTTCTTCTAAGATGGTTCTTTTCGATCAAATCGGTTTAACACGTTATGATACATTAACAAATTGTGTTGAATGTCTACCTATACATTGGGATATTAAATCATTACAAAATCATATGTTCAATGAATTTATTCTATTAACAACTGGTAATAGTGCTGTACTATGTCCAGAATCATCCATTACAACCACCGACAATGATGATGACGGAGAAGTAACAGAAAAGCAACAACCAGCTTGTATTTATACATTCGGTGGTTATTCACTACTTGGTAATATACATGTAAATGCATTGTGTCGTTATGAACTGACACAAACAAACAATACAACTCATTGTCATCATAGTTGTTGTTGTCATGCATCTGTAATTAGTGGACATGGTATATTAAGTTGTTTAGCTTATTCATCACATGATATCTCAAAACAACAATTAATGAATTTTACAATGTTAAAATCATTTCAACGACAATTACAATATTATCAATGCAATGATATTCAATTGAGTAATAATATGAATCTGTGTACTACCACCACTAGTACTACTACTAGTACTTCCACAAATTGTATACCATCACCACGTGATAAACTATGCATGGAATATTGGCATGGTAAATTATATGCATTCGGTGGTTATGGTCCACAATTTCATCCATCCTCATCATCATCATCAACAATATGGCCAAATGAATTATTTCATTGGCCATATTTATATGATCCACAAGATCATAATAATTGGATTATGTTTGATAATAATGGTGGATGGAATAATCAGCTGATTGTATATGATTTGGTCAAAAATCAATGGGATTTAATTAGGCGACAAGATGTCGCGGGGCGATTTCCAACACCACGTGCAGCGCATTGTTCAGTGTTATTACCAAAACATGATTGGATGATTATATTCGGTGGTCGTGGTCCATATTATAATCCTCCGAATAGATTAGAACCACAACAACAACAACACCACCAACACCACCAATCATTATTATCAGATTATCGTATGGGTCGATTAAATGATATGCATTGTTTCAATTTGAATTTGAATGAATGGACACGAATCCTGACTCCGTTGGATATACCACAGATTAGAAATGATATTTTGCAACAACAACAACCGCCGCTATCAACTATTTGGCCATGTGGTCGATCATGGATGGATATGGTAGTTGTGCATGAATCATCGGCTATACGAAATAATTCCGCATGTTATTATGAACATGATGATGATAAGCATGAAGCCGATTTCAATTCATCTAATCCAATTGAATTATTTCTAGTTGGTGGTTTTTCAAATAATGACGAAGCATTAAATGATGCTTATTGTATTCATATACATTTATGTCAAAAGCATAAACAATTAGAAGCTGTGATTGTACGTTCTACTAAACAAGTACACATTGAAAATGATACTTGTTTAACAGATTTCAATCAACAACACCACCGACAGGATTATTGTTCACTTATTGAACCAATGAAAATAACTACTACTACTACTACTACTACTACTACACCGACTAATAGTAAACTACCAATGATTATAGATGGTTATGTATGCTTACAACCACCAGTGGATTATAAGAAATATATGAATTTACAAGTGAATTCAATTGGTGAAATTTTGCCGATCAATGAACAATTATACATAGATTGTATTACATCAAACTATTCGATTGACGATCCCAGTCAAATTATAGAAATGTTAATGAAATCTACTGATAGTGGTAGCAGTTGCAGTAGTGCTATGAGTCCTCCTCCTGTTGCTGCTCCTTCGTCTACCGATACAGATCATTTGAATTTATTCTTAAAAGATTTACAGTATCATTTATACATGTATCAAACTGCCTCATTCACATTACATAATCAATCTAAGAATAACCTTAATCCTACAGAGCCATTATATCGTATTGCTTTATTGCATACTATTTTTATACAATATTTATTAAAAAATTATTGCTTGTATACTGTGAGTAGAAAAAATAAATCAAAAAATTCAAAATCCAATAATAGTAATAATATTCCCAAGATTAGTGAACTATTGGATTATATCAATATTCAATGTGATAATTATCAATTTGATTTAGAACCTATTCAAAATTCAATTCTTTCTGTTCTAATTGGTATGTATTTAAAATTAATGTTACCTTGGCAAATTATTCAAATGATTTTACAAGAGCATAATAGTTGGTTAACCATGGAAGATAGAATAACATTGTTACACAAATTAATACCATTATTAAATGCAATGCCGGCGGCGGCGGCGGCAGTGGTAGATAAACGAAGTACTACTACACATTCGTCAAAGTCTACATCAGATATGCATCAATTAGATTTAAATGATCAATCCATTCGTGATAAATTGTTGTTATTGATTACACCGAGTCAAATACGTAATCCAGTGAATTATATCAGAAATCATGCTAATCATAATGGTGGTATTGATCATTTATTTCAATATTTACAACAAATTATCATGTCCACATTGATATTGTACTCTAGTCAATCCCCATTACATAATGATATTGCAGAGAATTCCACTGCTACTCATGATAATATAGACGGATTGCTGTCTCCATTGACATCTTCACCTCCACTAATAATACAACCATTATGTGAATCAATACATCGTCATTGGCATACTGTCACTATTGGTTTAAATGATTACATATATGTGATTGGTGGAACAGTGGATGAAGCATTAGCTTTACCATTAGAATGTTATCATTTGTATAGACCAATTAGTTTAATGAAACAATGTTCTATGCAAATAACAAAAATGATTTTGTTGAAATTATATACTATTGCTAATAATAGTAGTACTACTACTAGTAGTAGTATAAGTAGTAGTAGTAGTAGTGATAGTCGTCGTCGTATGACCATGATTCCATCATATTCATGTCATTCCATTCAAAATAAATTCAAAATTCAATATTTAAACAAATTAGATAAATATTTACAAAGTTGTTTATTAAATAATCATATAAAAAGTGAATTAGAACAATGGTTATTGTAATATTGTGAATAATGATGGTGTGTGTACATTGGACAAGGATTATTAATTGGATGTATATATATTTATTCTTTTCTTAAACTTGAGATGGATGAATGAATGCTAGAATAATAATAATAATGTTGTTGTGATCCTTTTTTTATTTTTATTTCTATTTATTTTTTTCTTTTGAAATTAAACTCAAAAGAAGAGAAAAAAAGTGGAGTATAATTATGTAAAAAATTACATTATTATTTATTATTATCCTTGTATCGCTCTCTCTTCCTTTCTCTCTCTCTCTCTCTGTGTTCCTAGTAGTTTTGTGGGGATCCATTTACTACTATCTGCGTGTTCGGATAGCGCCTGACGGTTTATTATATATAAATCAGAAGGCGCGAATTCGAATTGATGAAGAATACGTTTATATTTTTGGACACACCACACAGCGAAGTTGAAAAGCAGCGAAAGAATGAGCGAAGGAAGTGAACCAATAGGCGAAGCGTATAGGAAAAGGCTAATGAGCCAACCAACTCAAAGAAATAGCGCATGACTAAGAATAATAGTCAAACACAAATAAGACAGACATGTGACAAGCGAAATAGGTACACATGAATAAAAGTGACGAATGATTGACAAGGTCAAATGACACGTCATGTGAGCTCATCATACAAACCAGAAAATAATAAGAACGAATGGTACATATAAATTGTTGCAATACAAATGGCTTGGTTAAATAGATTAATCGAAAGGGCTTACTTAACCAAGCTAGTTGTAAGCGGACTGGAAAATATGTGGAGGCACTACAATAGCCCCTTTCCAGCAGCAAACAAGGTTACGAAAATGGCTTTGTTTGCGAAAAAAAAATCGAAATTGTCGGAAAACATCAAAAGTTTCGAAAGTTAAGGTTATCTTATTCGCATACGTTCGTGAGGTCGCAAAGGAACAGAAGATCAAAAAGAAAATATGGTAAGCGGTTATTAGCAAAACAAAATCGATTTCGAATAGAATACATTGAGAGCAGGTGTAGGATACGAAAATGTAATACAAATGCTGCAAAATATTTAATATCGTTTAGGCATGACAGTTAGGACGGAATTTGATAATCGCATAGACATTACGGTAAGGCTCATCGATAAATTGAGTGGCTGTAGATAGGTGAAGAAATTGCCGTCGAGATTATCGTGGAAAAATTTGGAGAATAAAGCTGCGTACAAATGCGATGCATGAATATTACTTGCATATCGAGAACATAAGTTACTACCGTTGAGTATACGACTCCATACTTATGTCTATGATAGCGTTGCAAGTCGTTGCCAGCGTTGGGGTAGTCGAAAACATGCGAATATCAGCGTGCAGGAGGTTCGCTCGACTGCTTGAATTGTTGCTTCGTGTGCATGTGCGTATGATCATACCACCAATTTACTTAGCAGGTTGCAAGATTTTCGAGGTACGAGCAGCTGATGAGTACATAGAGGATATCTCCAATGCGATAATCGTATAGCCACGGAAATATTAATGGACGATAATTGTCGTTGAGCCATTGCTTTGATAAGCGATTCGAAACATAATAATGCGATACGGCAAAATAAATGGAACGAACTCACCTTAATCGTGAACGTCGTTCGTGTTATCGAAAGAAGTAAAATAATTCTGTGAGTTACAAATGTCCTCCCGTGAATACAATATTCGTAATGCGATTCGATTAGCGATTAAGATAATTCCATTATTGTCGTAATATAATATCATCATGAATCAGAATAATAGTTCTTTCACGTTAATACGATAATTGGATAATTCGAGAAAGTTGATACGTAATCGAAATGATAATAAGATGATACGATTTTTATGTGTGCATATAACCGCTGAAATGGCTTTGCTGCTTTCATTCGATGGAAGAGTGAGTTGTCTGTTGTATTGTATATCGAGTCTGGTTCGTTGATTCGTTCAGCGAATTCATTAACTTCCTGAGCTGCTTTGTCGACGTGCGGCGTCGGAATTTCCAGTTAGTGGTTCTGCTCGATTTGTCTTCGAGATTACCAACTGGTTGGTTGTATTCGATTTGTCGCCGAAATCGTCAAATTAATCCTGGAAACGTTGGACTTACCAGATGTGTACACTGGCAAACAAATGCGCGACTGAAGCGAATCGTATGAACAAGCGCTATAAAGATAAAATCGTCATGCGAGCGCCGAAAAGAAGGCAAGCAAACGAATGGTTGACAAGGTCAAATGACAGGTGGGACACGTCATGTGAGCTCATCATACAAACCAGACAATAATAATAAGAACGAATGGTACATATAAATTGTTGCAATACACAAATGGCTTGGTTAAATAGATTAATCGAAAGGGCTTCTTAACCAAGCTAGTTGTAAGCGAACTGGAAAATATGTGGAGGCACTACAGTTTGAACATTATACTTTTGAATTATTTATATGTAACGTATATTGTATTTGTGGATGAATAAGTTGGTCCACTCTAACTTACGTCTCGAGGTCATATATAATAGAGGTGATTAAGAGTAGAGAGGATATTTGTTCGTAGGTTACTAGTATTTGATCATAGGTGTCTTTGAAGCATTACTTGTATATCCTGGGACCACTGAGTAAGCGATGATGGTGTTAAGAAACGGGTACTAGGCAAGGATGAGTGCTATATATGTGTTATGCTCGACTCTAGGTATGCTTAAACTATTACCAGTTCACTTTAGTCAAATAACGAGAACAAAACAATGAACCAGCGTCCAGGTAGGCTTGACTAAATTGAATCAACAAGAAGTCTTGTTATAGTGTAGAAATTGTATTCTACAAACACCCAGCCAGCATACAATGAATCCAAGCACTCAAATCGTGTTTATTTATACTCGCCATAGAGACGTCCTTGGGACAGTCACAAAATAGCACACTAAATTGACACAGTAACCAATTACAGCCAAGGATTTTCCTGGTGGGAAATGTGATCTCAAGGTCAGCTGATCGGTCCATGAAATAAATCCAAAATAAAGATTTTTACCAAGCGAGTTCTGGGGATCTAACATACCCAACAGTATGCGGGTTTACCTTAGTCGGGAAACTAGAACGAGGATCCGGTGACACGACATGCTACTCTAATCGAGTGTCCCAACCCCCATTGAGTAAAAGAAGAACACTTCATAGGAAGTAGAACCTGTATTTTACAAGCATCCAGAAAGTCCGAGTCCAGAGGAAGATGCGGATCCCTGACTGAGGATTCGGGTCCGGGTCATAAAACGTTACAGATAATGCGTGTTTATACAGTTAGCTCGAATAGGAAACAACATTGAAGTCTGTGACATTGACAGTTAAGACGACCAATAGGAAACAACATTGGAGTACGTGACATTGATAGCTAGGATGACCAAAATATTGACCAATAGGAATCGATCAATAGAATTTACACTTACAAAATGATTCTTCGTAGGATAATTTGGTGAATATCCTAACAATGAGAGATCAATTGATGAAGTAGTGAATCTTCATCATTTGGGGTGGTTGAGACATGTGTTACGACTGCCCAACCACCGACTGCCTCGACGAGCGATGTTTTGTGATTTGGCGGTAGGCTGGAGGAAAGGTAGTGGCGGCCAAACCAAAATATGGCACAAATCCATGAAATCATTGACAAGTGCACTGAGCCATGTTTTGGTAGGTGTAGACTACCTGATTGGGGTGCACGAGACAAAAATAACCTATGGTTAGAAACTTTGAATGACATGGTTGCAATGGCATAGATGCATCCGTTCCTTGTGTTCCCTCAAATCCATATTTTCCGACTTTTTCGTGACTGTTCTTTATCCTCTTTGTAAATTTATTCCACTGGATTATAATTCTTGGATAATTTCTTCAAACCCTAATTTTCTCTATTAACGTTAAAACGTCTAACTACTATGGGATTTGAATTGACAACTCGATCTCTGTGTGCCAATGCGGTATGGTAACTTCAACTGATTGATGCACGCACGTACGTACGAAGTCCTACGTTGTAGCTGACTAACATCACCGTAGCCTCTTCGAACTTATACAGTTTAGGCTTATATTATGCAATGGATAAACATATCATTATTACTCAGTTAAAGATTTCACACGTAATTTTAGCCCGTTAACTTTCGTGTACCAATGCTCTTAACTCGTGTGTGTTGTTATATGTGCTAAATTGCTTAGACTTTTCATATTAGTTTTAGACTTATGATAGCATTTATATGTGTACATATTCACTGAATAGTCTATTGATTTTCTGACTACTGATTTTATTGCTTGAGCTTTTTACTCAAAAATGCAGCATCCATTCTATGACTTCCAAATTAATATATACCATTGGTAATTATCCCATTAAAATGTGATCAGGTTGATTTGTCAAAGAAGTATACAAATACGATCACAGCCACTTGACAAGTATGTTTAAGATGCCTTTTTCTCTTTATAAATACGAAGTAATGCTTTACAACTAGTCTACATCAACACCTGAACTAATGGCAACAAGTGATGTAACTGATCGCATTAGCTACTTACTTCATTCATCTTGTAAGTTTCACCAGCTCCGATGAGTTGGTGTCCACCGAAAGTTCAGCATCGATTCAGGAGGGTCGCCTAATTTTTCCTAACTCACGTCATAGGCAAATTGTCCATCTGTCAACAATCGAACTAGCATATTACATCGTCGCCTGCTTATATTTACAATAAAGCTATTAAACGTGTCATCTAAGAGTAGGGAGCATGTGCAGATTGCTTGTATTTAATTATACCTATTGTCAAGTATGATGAGACAATCATACGAATAGTTGTTACGCCTGCACGTAAACACGCCAACTCGCTATACTTGAACTATTACGAGTTTACCTAGTCGGAAAACGAGAGCGAGGATCCGGCGACATGACATGCTACTCAAATCCAATTATTATTGAGTGAAAATAGGAAGACTTGATATGAAGTAGAACCTGCATTATACAAGCATCCAGAAAGTATGAGGTCCGAATCCAGAAGAGAATCAGGATCCCGGACTAGGGATCCGGGTCCTGGTCGTAGTCATAAAACGTTACAGATAATGCGTATTTATACATTTTGGTCGAATAGGAAACAGTATCGAAGTCTGTGACATTGATAGTTAAGACGACCAATAGGAAGCAACATTTGAAGTGACACTGATAGTCAGGACAACCAATAAGAAACAACACTGGAGCACGTGACATTGATATCTAGGACGGCCATAAAATTGACCAGTAGGAATTGACCAATAATTCTCTTAGGATATTGGATGAATATCCTAACAATAGTGTTAAGGTTAGAGACAGGTTATGAAATTAGTCGATAGGGTTGTGATTCTTCATCGACTTAGATTAATGATACATGTATTAAATTTGCCTAACCGTAATCCATTTAGACACAGAACGCTTTCTGAATGTAATGCTAGGTACTTGTCACTGAATACTACTACTTAGTCTATTGGGTTGCGTAACACAAATAATGAATGATAGGTTCTACGTCGCTTATAATTGACTGATTTTGTTTCTTAAGGTACACACGAAACTGTAGTTCATGACCCAATTGTTGCATTTCCCTTTTTTAACACAGGCTACGAACTTATATAACACACTTGTAAATTATAAGTAATTGATTAAATCATACATTTCGAATCGAAATACGATTGTAACTGGTACGTACAGTTAGTTAGTTAGTTAGTTCATGGTGAAGTTTTGTTTTCTACGCTCAGAGAATATAAACTCCATAATTACGCATCAGTTAGTCAATCAGTTACAATGTAGAACTTCGTACATACGTACATCACAGTTCGAAATGCTATACCATCTTAACACAGAGAGATACAACTGGTCAATTCAAATCTTATAGTAGTAGAGATAGTAGAAGTATTGGCAGTAGAGGTGTTGACGAATCCAGAAGATCAGGATTTGAGAGAACACAAAGAATCAATGCACCTACGCCATTGAAAACGATTTTGAGCCATGTCATTCAAGGTCTCTAACCATCGGTGACTTCCGTCTCGCGGACCCCAACCAAGTAGTCTACACCTATCAAAATGGCTCAATCAGATTGTCAGTAACTATTTCCCTTCTACTCTTGCTTTCTCATTCAAGTAGTGCGTCTTTTTAAGAAATTAGTCAGTTAGTCAGCTACAACGTAGAACTTCGTACGTACGTACATCAATTCAGGTTGCCATACCACTTTAGCACAGAAACGCTATTGTCAATTCAAATCCCATAATGGTAGAGATAGTCGAAGGATAACTGGTAATGGAGAAGATTGAAAATATTATTCAAGAAGTATAATTCAGTGAGATAAATTTAGAAAGACAAAGGTAGAGGTGTGGACGAATCCAGAAGATTAAGATTTAAGCGAACACAAAGATTGGATTTTGAGCCATGTCATTCAAGGTGTCTAACCATCGATTATTATCATCTCGCGAACCCTAACCAACATGACTTAATCCAGTTTGTCAGTGACTTCATGGATTTCTGCCATGTTTTGGTTTGACCACCCCCTTAACTTTCTTCCAACCTACTCCTTCCTACACTACAAAACAAAGCTCGTTGAGGCAGTCGGTGTGGTTGGGCACACGTAACCAATGTCTCAATCAACATCTTAACTGATAAAGTTTCACTACTTCATCTACATTGATCTGTCCTAATCATTCATACTTAAGAGCTACACTACACACAGTTTCATCACAAATCACACACTATCACACTTAATGCACAAAACAAAACAAGAAAAAGTCAACTTGATCAAATACTCATTATTTATGTGTGTTTTTTTACGTGTAAATATTATATAAATAATAAATACTGGATTATGTTAAATTTTATTATATACAAACAAGTAGTACATGTGTTGTATGTAAGCTGATTTGGTTGGTATGGTATGGTATGATAGATGGCATAATGACGATAGACTAGAAAAATACACCAAGAAGAAAAATAAGTCTCACACACACACACGCACACACACATACACATACACAAAGAATCATTGTCATAGACACAGTTTCTCTCTTTCTCTCGGTGTACTAACAACTACTACAACACCAGCATAAAAAGGGGGAAATAATAAACAGCAACAACACAGGAAAAACAAAAAAACTGGTCATTTATTTACACAAATGTAAAAAATAGTAATAATAATAGTAGTAATAAGTAATAAATAAGTAGTATAAGTGTTGTGGTAAGTCACATTCCTTTCTTCTTCTTTTCTTTATTTCAGTAAAAAATAATCATCATCATACACAATCAATAAATGGCCAATTGTGAAAAATAATAGTACTACTAATAGTAGTACTACTTATCAATAAATAGATAAACAATGCAAGCATCAACGGTGTAGGTAGGTAGATAGCAAACAAACAAAAAAATAATTTAAATAGAAGAATATTGTGTGTGTGTGTGTGTGTGTGATAAGACTTGATTGTTGGTGTTTATCTCTGATTATTATTATCATTATGGAGCTTAACACTTTGAAAAGTACAGGCACTTGAATAATGTGTGTCTATAGTATGCATGTATGTCTGTTCGTATGATATGTGTGTATATATCTATCTATACACATACAATACACACACACACCGACACAAGGACAGGATGTTTATCAATCAATACAAATAAAATATAAAATGGGATTTGATTTCCTTTCAGAAACGATAAATAGACACACACATATACACACATATACATTGAAGCCAAAAGTGAGTGTGTACATGCGACGTGTCTGTATCTGTTTAGTGTGTGTGTGTGTAGGGAAGGCATTCACAATGATTTTAGGTAGATGGATTTTTAAAAAAAAAGCACAAAACAGATTGAACAAGGAGGACTAGTGTTACATAATTAGTTAGTTAGCTAGTTAGTTAGGTAGTAGTAAGTAAGTAGTTCAATAAGTAGTATAACACACAAGTTGGAAATGAATAACAATAATCATAATAATAGTAGTAATAATGAAAATATTTTTTTCAGAAAAATACACAAACACAACAAGATAAGAATTGTAAGACAAAATCTAATAATCTACATTAGAAATATGCATTTTTTTCAATCTGCAAGCAAGAATCCGATTAGTAGTACTAGTAGTAAATGTTGTTGTGTAGAATCAATGCATCCATCCATGATGATGATGAAAGAGCACATGGGACATTCGACGATAGAACATTCAAATCAATACACGTACATGTGAATATTTATAGATTAGTTAGTGTAAGTTAGTCTAAAAGTGGATTTATCAGTCCTTGTCAAACACCGTCAAAATAAATGACGGTTCCCACCCATTTGGATCTCTCTCACACACACACTTGCAGTCGCATTCTATCCTCACATGGTATGGAATATACGTATATATATATCAGTAGAAAAAAGACAGTGGCGCATTTGAACAAGTAAAGAAATATGTAGAGGAGAATAGAAGTAAGTATTAATAGTAATAATAATAATAATAATGTATACACACATATAGGCTGTTCATTGTTTTATTGATTGATGGTGTCTATTGATTTGATTTGCACAGAGTTGTTCTACACACATATACAGACACACACACAAATGATCTTCTTTGAATCCAAAGAGTTTTCATTTTTGCTAAATAACAATCGACACATTTTGATCGCCACAAATAAACATTGATAGTAGTAGGCAGTAGTAGTAGTAGCATAAGTAGTGGTTTTCGTGTTCATGTGATCAACACTACTGTATATGCTGTTCATAACAAATAAGTACATATTTTTGAAGCATATACGACCTCCCCGTCCCCAGACCCAATCATGAATAGAAGCATTTTTACTGTTGATTGATTGAGTTTCATATCAAATACCCTGTTATATTATATTCTGATGATAGTATGAGGATGATGTGGACGACGGTGGTGGCGAACGCGGCGACGGTAGAGGTTGTAGGCATAATCCTTTAGGACATTGGCACATTGTTTGTTTTTCAATCTACTCATCACCTAGCCATATACATACACACACCTATACAAATACACACAAATTTACACGTACAACAATCAAAAAAGCAAAGATGAATATGAGGGATTCTCAATAAGATCAACAAGATCGGTAAGAGTGTACATAGAGATAGACAGATAGATAGATAGGTAGATAGATGAGACTCTAATGAAAAAACAGCAGTAGTAGAGTAGTTAAGTAGTAGTTATTAGTAGTATTTAAGCTGAGAAAAAAAAATAATGAATCAAAAGGTAACAGAAAAATCTTATTATTTTGTTTATAATTATATGATTTAGATTGGTTTTGAAAGTTTACTAATCACACGAATTAATGCACCATTTTCTTCTTTCATTCTAGATATTTCTTCACGTAAACGAACAATTTCCTAGGGAAAAATAAAAGCAGAAGTTAAGAAAATATATCAATCATAGAATTTGAAATCGTCAATCAATCACTGTGTTAGACCACCATTGGAAACCCACAAGCACTGGAAGGCCGTTTCGTCCTGGAATGGGACTCATCAGCGACAGTGCACATCCACGACTCCTGCTACTCACACGACTGGAACCTGAAACTTTCGGTATTGTGCGCAAACGCCTAAACATCAGACCACTGGACCGGCATCCAATGGTGTTAATGTCTAACTCTGATTGATCTACGGATTTTTGCGCGACCTCACCCGTTATATGTCTTTGGTAGTTATTGCGTACACCCGACAGGGTTGAACTCCATTGGTCACGTCTTCTCAACTAGAACTCCGAGAATTTCTTCACGAAGCTAGTCACTAGTGAGCACATGTTACGATATTTTCAGTTAAAGCTTTGGAGATTTGTGTTTTTACACATTTGAAATCATCAGTCCCAGGTTCGAATCCTGCGAAGTGCAGGAGTCGTGGATGCGCACCGCCATTGATGAGTCCCATACCAGGACGAGACGGCCATCCAGCAGTGCTTCCAGGTTTCTAATGGTGGTGGTCTAACAATGATTGATTGATGATTTCAAATGTGTAAAAACACAAATCTCCAAAGCTCTAACAAGAAAAAAATTTGTTATAACCTTCAATTTTCACCCAGGTAATGTGATAATTTCCTATTGTATTCTATCTATAGTAACTTAATTTTCTCTCTGTCTTTTATTTACAATGATCACCTTATTAATTGTTTATTTGAACTTTTATTTAACTGACCTTATCCGGGCGTATACGGGTGTGTGTGTCTGACCAGATTGTTCTAAATCTCCTCTCTGTAGAGCAAATATAATCAAAACATTTTTGTTTTCCAAATCAACTACATCCATTCATTCATTGTTCTATCTCAAATTTTATATGAAAATGGATTATATTACGAGGAGGTTGTGAAGATTGTTAACTAGTTACATATTTGAAATCAAGACCACTACAATTAAAAACTTGGATGCACTAGAATGACGGCCGTTTCGCCTTGGGATAGGACTATTCATCAGCAGTGCACATCCGGCTTAGTGGTCCAGAGGTTAGGTGTTCGCGCACAAGACCGAAGGTACTTGTTAGGATATTCATCCAATATCCTAAGAGAATTATTAGTTAATTCCTACTGCTCAATTTTATGGTCGTCCTAGATATTAATATCACTTGCTCCAATGTTATTTCTTATTGATTGTCCTGACAATCACAATGTCACTACAAATGTTATTTCCTATTGGTCATCTTAACTGCCAATGTCACAGACTTCGATGCTGTTTCCTATTCGACCAAAATGTATAAATATGCATTATCTGTAACATTTTATAACCTGGATCCTTTTTCTGGACTCGGACCTCGTACTTTCTGGATGCTTGTAGAATACAAGTCCTACTTCATATCAAGTCTTCTTATTTTTAATCAATATGGGGGTTGGAATAATCGGATTTGAGTAGCGTTTCGTGTCGCCGGATCCTCGATCCTCGCTCTCGTTTTCCGACTAGGTAAACTCGTAATAGTTCAAGCATATCAAGTTGACTTGTTTAGGTGCAGGCGTAACAGTCCTGGGTGCTTAAATCCTGTGAGCTGCAGCAGGATTCATGGATGCGCACCGCCATTGATAAGTCCCACCCATACCAGAACGAAACAGAAGTCTTTCAGTGCTTCCAAGTTTCTAATGGTGGTGTGGTCTAACATTGATCGATTTTATGATTCATAACGTACATATATATATGTACTATTCATGGATAAGAAACAGCTTTAAAAAAAACAACTACTCACTTTCATTTTGTCTTCAGACGAGTGTAGTCGACTCTGGAGCTGAAAGGAATTAAAAGAAAAAAAAGCCAGTATGACTGACAGAGAATGAATGACACAAATTGTTAAATGATTAAGTACATCATACATAATACATGATCAACTAACCCACCCTACAGTATCGACTAGTACATGCATTATTAATTGATTGAAACTGTTTGTCAGTGATATTAAAAAAAAATATAGTTTATTTTTTAAAATATAAATAAAACAAGGGAAACTATTAAATGAATGCAATTTTAGAATACTACTTACTCTATATCAATCTAAATAATCCAGTCAGTCAGTTAGTCAATTACGACGTAGAACTTCGCACGTACATATGTACGTACATAGGAGCGGTTAGACCAAAACATAGCAGAAATCCATGAAAAGTCACTGATAGTTGGACTGAGTCATGTTGGTAGTTGTCGACTACCTGGTTGGAGTCCGCGAGACGAAAGTCACCAATGGTTAGAGACCTTGAACGACATGGCTCAGTAATCGTTTGCAATAGCGCAAGTGCATCCACTCTTTGTGTGCTTTTTAATTCTAACCTTCTGAATTCCTCATCATCTCTATCTTTCTGTTTCTAAATTTATCTCACTGAATTATACTTTTCGAATCATATCTTCGCTCCTTAATCTTCTCCATTGCTGCTAATACTTTTACTATATACACCACTATGTGATTTGAACTGACAGTTATGTCTCTGTGCTAATGTGGTATGACAACATGAACTTATGTACATACGTACAAAGTTCTACGTTGCAACTGACTGAAGGGCGGCTAATAAAAGCTAATTCATATTTAATGTCAGAGTAGTTAGTTAGAGTTCCATATGAAATACTTATTCAATAGTTAAACAACCTGCTACATTAGATAAGCCATCGATCATTGTTAAACTATCATCATTGGAAACTTGGTGGAAGCACTGATCAGTCAGTCACTTACAACATCGAACTTCGTACGTACGTTCATTATTTCAAGTCGCCATACCACATTAACATAGAGAGAGATGCAATTGTCAATTCAAATCCCATAGTAGTAGAGATAGTAGGAGTAAATGAGCAGTAATCGGAGAGATTAGGATTCAAAGGTATTATTTAAGAAGCAGAATCTAGTAAAATAAACTTAAAAAGTGAAACATAGAGCTGATGACGAATTCAGAAGGTTAGAATTTGAGAAGACACAAAGAGTGGATGCACCTGCGCCAATTTACAAACAATTTTGAACCATGTCATTCAAAATCTCTAACCATTGGTTAATATCATCTTGCGGACCCCAACCAGGTAGTCAGTTGTCAGATTTATTTTGCCATATTGGATTTAAATTTCATAGTAAATGAACACAACAGTGCGCAATTAAGTGCTCATGACAGTTATACACATGCATACATACGTACCACAGTGAATTTGATCAATCAAGAGATATCTAAACAGTACTGAATACATGGGAACTTTTAAAATACTCATTGTCTTCTATACCAACTAGAACAGGTTGCTAGGAGAGAGAATAGGTCTAAGTCTAGAGAAGACTTCATAAAGTGAATAGAAGATATCCGTGTCACAGTGATCGATTTCGAACTAAGTTACTTGAACCTCCTAGCTTAGTCGAATACAGTGGCGATGACTAGCGCCAAATTGTGGCCATCAATAGACTTGATTTTTTTTCCATCGACTCATGAGATAAAACAAAAACCCAAGTTAAGTAAAAGGATTCACTTATGTGCGCAGAAATACAAACAATTCACAAATTCAATGATCAATTTATCCTTTGAAACATTGAACACATAATTCAAACAGTATAACACAATTTAAACAAAACAAAAATAATAATTGTACAGACATACACGTACACGCACACGCACACACACACATTCAAACAAGAACTATGATATTATAATCAAGGCAATAGAAATATATTTTACAGTTTATAAATGCTGTTTAAAGTTGAATTTTATATGATTGTTACATGACAATTTGCATGATAAGGTTATAGAGATTGTCAAGTTATTTTGAAATGATGAATCAACCAATGATAGAGCACTATCAGAAACCTGGAAGCCCTGGATGGCTGTTTCGTCCTAGTATGGGACTCATCAACAACTTCTGATGTGGGGCGCGCTACTTATAAGTAGTATATGACGTGAGTGTCAACGTAATGTCTGGCAGCAGAAGATGGGGGAAGATAAAGAGAAAGGAAGAGTGGGAACACAATGCAATTTGTATGAAACGCATGAATAGTGACAATGGATTGGTGTTTTGCAACAGGAACAGTCCAGTTCGATATGATGAACTGATATTTTGCAAATGAACGATTTACGATATGGTTTTCCGATTTTACTGAGTGACTCTGTAATTTTCGTTAAATACAATCCGTTTGCCCAACCTGTGTTCTCGTTCACTACACTGATACCCGCAGGATTCGTACACGGGAATTGTGATCTTGCACGCGAACGTTTAACCCTCTGGATTACTCTGAGCTGGCTTGCAACAGTTTAAATGTCTAACTTTGATCAATCCACACTCTTGCACAACCTCATATATTAGATTTTAAATGAGACATTTATTTGTAATAAAGGCTACTTAGTAGTCACACTAATTTACTTGTTCAAAGTTAACTAGTTGGAGGAGTGGGTGTTCGAAATCAGGACTTTTTGAATTTCATAGTCATTTAAACTATTCTCAAAGTCAAAAAAAAAACACAGAAGTCTTCTTTTCCATAAAGAAAAACATATCTATAGAAAACTACAAATGACGAGAATTAATCAAACTAAATTTGATGATGAGGGATGTATTACATTAGTTTATCTCATATTAGTAGTATATTCATAACATTGAAAAAAAAACAACTAAAGAATAGAAATTCAATAAACATGCACATATAATAGACGTGAAAATAATAATGTTAATTCAGTATTGAAGATATGAATCCGAAAACTTGCAATTTTATTATGGTTAATGCTATTTAACTACTTGTAAGTAGTATAATTTTTAAAGGTGAAATAAAAAAAGACAGACTGGTTAGTATGATTTTGATTATTAACAACCTGTATGTAGTATGATAAAGTGATGTTGTATTATAACGAGGGATTGGTGATCGATGATATGAACGAGTTAACTGAAGAATTAATAATATAACGAATATAAATGATGAATCAGATTTTTCGTTAAAAACAATAATGATAGAATTAATATCAGGAAATATTTAATAACCATGAACAATAGCATTTGATTAATTAACAAGACGAAGGGTATGTACCTACTAACCTATTGGTAAGTAATAAAGTAGTATAGATTTCAGAAGTTATGGGGAAAGCTTAATAACTGGATGGCGTTAATTATAAATTCTGCGGCTATAACTAAGAAGTGATCTGAGAATCACTGGGAACCAAGAAAACATCGGAAGGCTATCGCAGAAGTGAGCATCTACCACCATACCTTCAGAAATTGAATTTAGGACTCTAGATTTCGTGAGCGAATATCTAACCTGGAGACCACTAGGTCAGTATCCAATGGTATACATGTTTAATTCCAATAAATTCCTGTTGCTGTCTAAACCCACATGGTAGATAACTGTTTCACAGTTGACATACAGCTATTGTACATAACTGTGATTTCCTTCTTTGAATTTCACAAGTTATACTTGCATTTAGTATAGAACCTTTTTAATGGGATATATATTCCAAACCAGCGCAGTAGTCCAGAGGTTAGAAGTCGGTGCGCGAGACCAAAGGTCCTGGGTTCGAGTCCTGAGATTAGCAGCGGGAGAGTCATGGGTACGCACTGTTGAAGAGCCCCATACCGTGACGAAACAGCCATCCATTGCTTCCAGGTTTCTAATGATAGTCTAACAATGATTAATTCATGATTCCCATGTGTACTTTATAAGTTTAAATCTTAAAAAAATATAACTTTTGTACTCATGATACACGAATACATGAAAACTCTCGGATTAATTCAAATATATCTTCCATGGCAGGTAACGAGGCTTATGCTGGCGCCATCGAGCGAGCAAAGCAGATTGTTTGAAAATTTTCTATGTCCGATGACGGGTCCACAACCAATGGTGGCATAGCTGGTAAGAAATGACCTGCTCAGGACAAAAATAACAATTTTGCTACAACTTTAAAACGCCCCTTAGTAATGGACAAAGTAGCTGCTGCTGCTGAGGCTGCTGCTCGAATAAATCAGAAGCCAACCTCAAATAACAATTCCGTTGGTTCAAGAGTTGTTACTACTGAAATTGTTATCCCTGATAGATATGTTGGCCTAGTTATAGGAAAAGATGGGGGAGAAAATAACACAACTTCAAAATGACACACAATGCAAAGTTCAAATTTCCCAAGTCGGCATTAATTCAATGTTCAAAAATATGAGGAAATACGAAGTGCGCAAACATAAATTATTCTTTACTAAAATAAATAAAAAAAATATATGATATCGAACAAAACGAGTATTTATTAATAATAAACACTAGAGAGAGAGAGAGAGAGAAAAACGTTTCCTTTATGAAAAAAAATTAAAACCACCACCGCCATCATCATCATGATTATCAACTGAAACTGAAAGAATGCAAAGATGATGTTGAACAATTGAATTTGGAAGCGCGATGTTTAATGTTTAGACGCACGAACGCACACACAGACGCACAGACGCACGCCCGCACGCACACACACATGTATATTTGAATATAACCGACATGATTGTAATAAATAATAATTTAAATCAAATTACAATAACTTGTAAGATTATGAAAGATTAGATGATTGATCAATTGAAAATTGATCATAAATAAATAAGAATGATGCGATGATTTATGCCACTTACTTAAATGCTAATAACAGTGTAGCAGTAGTAGTAGTAGTAGTAGTGGCGGTGGTAGCAGTAATAGTGAGTAGTAGTCGCCGGAGTAGTAGTAGTAGTAGTGTTAGTAGTAATAGTCGGAGTAGCAGCAGTAGTCGTAGTAGTCGGAGCAGTAGTAGTAGTGGCAGTAGTGTGAGTAGTAGTCGGAGTAGTAGT